TTTTTAATTCCTAATGAGGTTGATTACTTCAGAGGGGTTAGTTAAGAGCGCTGAGAGCGTTTTGATATGGGCAATTGTTGCTAATTTTTTTATTTGCCATTCAACTTTGTGGACAAATGAGGTATTACCTCTTTGAACAATACTCTGGTGAATGAAGGCATACTGAGTGCCAAGACAGTTAGTTTTATTTATATCTGAAGCTGGATGAGATAAGGGCTCAACGTTGATAGTTTGCGGAGAATATGGGGTATTTTTGGAAATACTTAATACTGAGTAGGAGGGTTTGAAATTACGATTTCATCATTTAAATCTCGCTTGAACGATTCCCAGTTGTTTTGGTTAAAGTTTAACTTTTTTTGTTATACAGTCTAATATCATTACCAACTACTGAGTAAAATAGTGTGAGTTGATCAGACGGCGAGTGGTCTAAGATTTGACAGTTTTCTATCAGATTACATCTATTTAAAATAGCGAAATCAATGATGGAAGGGTGGTTCCCGTTACTGGGATAATGGATGGGGAAATTAGGAGTATAAATCAGATGTTGTTGTTTGTAAAGAGATTCGCAATGGTAACACAGCCACCAGCTGCTGATTCTCTGTCTCGTCTAATTAAGTTAAAGTTAGGTAGATAGACTTTTGGTGTTTTTGGTTCAATTTTGTTTTTGAAAACAGAGCAATAGAAATATTATAATTGATAATAATTTGGTATAATTTGGTACATTTTGCTTTTAAGGAATCGATATTTATCGCTATAGCATTAATACGCTCGGTTTATTGATTAACCATTTTCACTGCTGGAGTTGTCAGATAATAGATACTCGTCAGAGCTCATTATTTGAATTTTTTCAAGCGGAGTAGATGCAATTTTAATTTCGCGAAGCACATTTTTAAATGAGTTAAACATAGCAGGAATGTTTAATCTATTCATCTTTTCCTCAATGAATCTGGAATCTTTAACGTAATTTTTAAGAATATTAACATAAGTTTGGCATTGAGACTTCAGTTGTCCTGGCCTTTGGGTGCTGTGCGAAGAGTTGCCTGATGATGGGACGATAACAAGTGAAATTGTTCCTCTGAGTGAAGGGAAGATCGTTCCAGCAAGGTTGCTTAAGGTTAAGTTGAAGAACAGTAGTATTGAAGAGGCAGGGGTAGTTGGTTGTGATTTCGCGAGAAGCAAGATGTGGTTCGTTCCAGAATCATCGATTGTTGGGTGGTAGCGGTGTTTGAGGTTATGTTGGTTGGCTTCCTTCCTTTCGGTCTTGTCTACGTCTTGTTGGACATTGGTGAAAGTTGGCTGTGTGGGCACCTTCACAATTAGCACATTTAAGGTTAGCCGCTGTGCAATCAGTGATTCGGTAATCTTCGCCACATTTAAGGCATCTGACAGGCGTTTGCAGTATTTCCTGGCATGCCCAAAGCTTTGGCATCGGAAGCATTGGAGTGGTTGATGATCAGTTTTTATTTTTTCAATTGAGACGATGTGATAGATGATTGATTTCGCAGCTTTAATTTTATTGATGGTGATGTCGTCGTTGGTAGTGATTGAGAATATTGGGAGTTTGGTACCAGGAGTTTTGTCAGAGTTTGTCTTGACGAATTGTTTAACTGATATAACCTGAATCCCTTTGCTTATCAGATCTGACTGGATTCCGTGCTTTTCAAAGGACGTTGGAAGGCCTTTATTTATAAATTTTCTGTTTTTCTCATCCTTGTTGCCATGAGTGTGAGGATCTTTGAATTGAATTGAAATTTGAATTTGAAAAATTTGATATCAATTATTTTCTTGTGATTTGTTCTTTAGACGGATGATGGACTCATCCCCACCATACTTGATGCTGAAGTTATTATTCGAAATGTTTGTACAACTAATATCAATGAAAGATTTTCTGAAGGTGGTTTTTGTGGTAATGATGATCGATGGCGCTGATTTGGAACCAGAAAATGAAGAAGTTTCGGAGTACTCACTACGAGGAGAGTTAACCTCAGTGGAACTTGAAGTTTGTTTTTTGATTTTTTTTTTCCAAGTGGCGACATATTTTTCCTCTTTACAGAATCAGAAGGGTTGAATTGTTGATTAAGCGGCACAGTTAGTGCCTATACAATTAAGAGTTGTTAATATAAGACTAATGGATTACAACTGCGCTATATAGATTAGTCACACTGCCACGGTGCTCGAGCGTGCGAGAAAACATGCACACAGAGACGCTGCCACAGCGAGACTGTTTTAATACCTAAGTCTTCTAGTATCAGCATAAAAACAGCTTAATAGATTTCAGTCAGTTATTTTTGTGCATTTCCGTCCTTCTTTGACCAATTGATAGAGAATTAATCATCAGTAGATTACTGAGGACTTCCGTACCTTTTTTAATTAAAAAATAGTTGCAATCATAATAGCAATTATTATTTTTATAGCAAACGCCTCCTTTTTCGAATTTTTCAATTATTATTCGCCTGATCTCAATGAATGATGATTCCGATGAAATTTAAACGGATTTCATTATTTAATGTTAATTATAATATAATTATACTCAATGATTATTTCAAGTGACGGATATTGGGGAAGCTAGGTAGGATCCATGAATGGCCAATGATCAACCAACGAATATTTAATCAACAGATTGGGGGTTTACCATTGGACCAACGTCCCTCAACCGAATCGCATTGGATGGATGTGGGCCAAGTGTGGGCCGAATGCTGGCCAGTGTATCAGAGTGCAATAAGTATACTGGCCAAGCCTCCAAAAACCGAGTGTTGGTAAGCAGATGCTGGCCAATACATTAATCGAGTCTGCAGGCTCGGAAATTCTGACACGGGTAGTAGTGGAGGAGTGGAGGAAAAATTTTAATTAATTAATTAATTAATTAAATATTCGCGATTCATCCCGGACGGACAGGAGGTCACTCCTAACGTGGATGACAATTTCAGGCGGGTTTTCAGTTTCATAGAGCTCGGGAAGAATTAGGAGAATTTCCTGAGACTTCAGGGTTAGGGAATAATTAAAGGAAGATTAGTTTTGGAGAAATGGCCTCGGGTCCAGTCGGATAAGAAAAATCATCATCCGGTGGTGGTTAACGACAACTCCGTGCATAAAATTTTCTCGGCATGGACAGTCTGGCTGCGAGAACTACCGTTCTGTTGAGGAAAGAGTTTCACCATTTCGGCAGCGATCGTCAGGACACGAGAACCGTAGGACTAGCTTTTGACTGCACAGTAGAGCAGGTAATGGGAGGATTCCGGAAGGCATCAGTATCCCATGGAAAGGCGAAGAAAACCTTTTGTAATTTATCCCCGTAATACCGGTTACTAGAAGCCCGAAAATTTGTCGGTTCGCAAGTGTTCAATCCTGCTCGATCACAGAGTAACCGCGTTACATGCTTGATCAAGTCCTGATCAAATTATAGGATCCAACTTGCAGTCTAACTTGATCCGAATTTAATCCGGACCTAAGCTAAATTTCCACTCGGGAACATGGTAAATATTTTGATTCTTCACCTCCCCTCTCTCGTCGCTAGTTTCGAGTCGGAGTCCTTAATTACTCAATCATGCCTCCCTACTCACTTCAACGATTATGCTCTGCCCTACCGCTAGAACCGCACCTTCTCATATAAGTCTGAACATCTACATCTATCCTGTACCGAGTATAACTACCTCCTTTCGCTGTGCCACTCAATTTGTCATTTTCAGGTTCAGTGAAATTTATATCAACCATCTCATCACCTTCGGTCTTCTTCATTTTTTTTTGAGTATCTTGCTGATTTCAAACCTCGGAAATGCGAGTCTCCAAAATCCATTATGAATCCACTTTTTATTTCAACCCACTTTTTACATCACATTCTTCCTGTTTATCCCACTGAAAAACCAATTATTTATCCTTACAGCTGAAGGAGCCAAAAACCACAGAACGAATTTTCATGAGCGCCGCCATGCGCCCTCATAAATCGCAAATCTTTACATTAAACAATTATTTTAGTATCAATTGTTATATGATCGAGCTTTCATGACCAAGGCATGGTGTAGTTAAGATTATGCATTGCAAGAATCATTTATAGCTCTTGAAAATATCCAGGAAATATTTGAGCAAGACTCTGAAAATGGTTCAGGGTTGTGACAATATTAAGCCCTCAAATTTGAAACAGACGAGAAATCGTGAAAAGCAGCACGGAAAAATGTTTTTCCAGACTGGTATCCGAAAAACACCATTTTCTAATCGCTGTGCGCCCAGAGCCATATCTCAACTGCTCAGAAAAGATTTATTTTTTCTAAGAGACCAACTTCAAGTTTCCCTTTGATATCCATCAATTTCAGCATGCTAATAAGATATTTTATGAACAATGATGATTCCAACAACAACAACGACAAAAGATTGACAAACTTTTCATTATTTCATTAGTAATAGTTATCTAGTCGTTATAAAAAATCACCTAACTTTCAAGTAATCTATGATTCAAGTAATCTCTGAGCAAATGATCAGATAACTTTTAAGAAGTAGTCGACCCATTTCATTATGCGGTACAGTAATTTGCGTCGATCGGCTGAAACACAACACGGTTATCAAACCGCTATGTGGTTTTTGAAAACTTTTTCATTTGTGTAGCTAACCGAAGCATACACATATTTCTCTTATTCTTCACTCTGGTCATTGCTGCGTTGATCGATACCTATCAAGAGGCGACCATAATTGTAATTGGGTGAAATCATGAAGGATTAGATGATCAGATTTCAAAAGAGCGAATTTCAATATATTTGCGTCATGTGTGCTTCATATAACTGCTTCAGTGTTTTAATGAAATCTCGTAAACTTGATGTCTTTTAAATAATCGGCATGCTTAGAAATCTATGCTATTTCATGTCTTAATTCTTGAAGTTCACTCCTTTTTTTTTCATTTCTTATTAAATACAAACTGCTACTTTTAGTTTTGCATTTTAGAATGTTATTAGATTAAACAGTTATTTTCGAATGATGTAAAAACCGTGTACCGCTTTCTTGCATATTTCCAGAAAAGAAAAATGGTCGGAGAGTCGACGTCCACACAAGTACTGAGGGATTTGGAAATTTCTCTACGGACCAATCATATCGAGTAAGAATTTCATATTTGTAATAAACGTAAATCCGGTTGTTGTGCAAAAATTGAACTTTATCATTGATTATTTTTTTATCTTTCTAAAGATGGGTCAGAGAATTCTTGGACGAAGAAAATCAGGGTCTGGATGCGCTGATTGACTATCTCAGTTTCCGACTGTTGATGATGAGACATGAACAACGGTTAATCGACTCCAGGACTGAGTCTGAAGAAAAAATTCAAACTAGTAATTTCTATCATTTGTCTAATTATTTTTGGTACAAGGAATTGATAACTTATTTGAAAATGGATAGTACATTAGAATACAAGAATTTGTTTCCAGCGAATGTGACAATTCCGTTGAACACGGAATTCATTGCCAAGTACTTTATACTATTTTATGTTGAGTCATGCAGAAGGCGAGTTTTGAACAGACTGACTGTGATAAACTCGATCTATTGCACGGTATGACATAAAAAGAATTTGCCCTATTTAGGTGAAATTTTAGAAAATACAGCAACAAACAATGGATGTCTCAGACCTCCTCTCCATGAACTAAAAGACAGTCCCGGTGTAAAACGACGATCGAGGCATGTTGCACGGCTCAACATGGGCGAGGCGAAGGACGATATTCATGTTTGCATCTTATGTATGCGGGCAATTATGAATAATAAGGTAGGAATACCAAACATCTCCTGCGAATCGCATTCTTCTATTCATGTTTTACGGATTACATTGCTACAGAAAAAAAGTATTTCATAAAAAATAGGTCAAGTTGGACGTAATTTTCAAAAATTTATGTGACTATTCCGATACTGAAAAGCTCTAACCGCAAAAGTCTTTTCGGCGAGATTGTAAAAATTATCCCTTCAGATGAACAACTCAATTTTACGATTCAATTTGAGTAAAATGCAATATTATACACTAAAATTTTATCGTTCTCTTTGCACTCGGTATGGATACTCTGTTCGGTATTTCTCGCAAATTTTATTGAATACGAATCGTCAGAATGTAATGATTGGTGGAAGGAGGCATAAATCAGGTAAGCCAGATGAGTCAAATATGGAAGAGGATGATTAGTTAAGCATCATAATTAGACTATAATATTTAACTTTAACTTTTTCAGCGCAAATGGAACTATTACCATCACAAACTTTACTAAGTATTATATGTTCAACATCCACGTGAAAAGGTTTTTTCTTATCAATATTACTTTCACCCGTTCCCATACTCGCATCTTGAAGGTCCGACCAGATTAATGCGAGCGCCAACTAGCTTTTTATGAACGAAAATCAAAAACCAAAAAGAACCCAAATTGAGGGTAAGGAAATGGGGTGCCCTACCTTACTCGAGGTCAGTAAGACTCGTTAAGTTAAAACCCAAAATCTTAAATATAAAAATATTCAAAAATTAAAGAGTACGAACGGACAGGACGAGTGGGGTTGGACCTCGTCCTGGCGACAATACAAAATTCATAAATCCAGAAATTCCCTCAATCCCTAAAATCCAAAAAACCATAAAACTCATAAATCCGTAATTATACGATAACTTAAGTACCAAAATTACCCGTCAGAGGCTAATGCCGATGACAGACGCAACGGAAGCGGGAAGGTCTGGGTTGCCCAGAATTCTAGGTCGTGGAGAGAGGTCTAGGGTCCAGAGATACGCGAGTCTAACCCTAAGCTTAACCGATACCAGAAAAGAAGAAAAGTGAGGCTATGGAGGGTGAATGTGATGGGATACCGAAAGCAAGTCTGTGTGAGATCCAGTGGCGCCAATGGCGGGAAGCTGCGGTGAGCATGTAACTCACGAGACACCATTCCTACCGAGGCCGTGGCCGACCAGTCGAGGTAGCCACACATAGTCAGCAAGAAAGTGAGCGAACGGCGAGATTCATTGGGAGTTAGGCGGAGCAGCTCTGGCGAGTAAGGGCGAAGTATAGGCCCCTGTGGCACTCCTCTTATGGCACTCTCGACTCTGCCTCTGTCGCAACGTGAATATCCCTGACACTAGCTTTTCCTGGAGCGCGCCGGACTCAACCGTTTCCATTGATCCCCTCGAACAACACCTCCGAATGATCAGCCGTCTGAATGCCCGCTCCGTCTAACATCGAGCGCTTATACGCCGGTATGAATCCTAAGCTGAAAGCCAGAAAATTTCATAGAGTAACTGGGAATGTTTTTACGTATCCGCCCTGTGCTGCTGCTTATTCGCAGGCCTCCTACTTCGTAAGTACTCTGGTCTCAGTTCTCACGTGCATGAACAGATCCAGCAATTTGCGCTGAAAGTCGATCGAGCGGCAGACATAAGATAACAATCTAAAGTTTAAGTTAATGTGTGGGATTTCAAAAAATCCTGTTACGAAGTTCTTCAAAAGAATGTCGAATGCCGCCGAGAGAATCACTGATCAGGATAACTGGCATGACCATGAATCTCCTGTTCAGCGGGTGTAGCTGAAGCAGGTTCACATTTAAACCGCTGGTCCTCTCCTTTCGCTACTATATTGCTCTCAGCCAGGGTCAAAAACTCAATGGCATAGATGACTTTGTCCTCAAAATCGAAGCTGCCCACATCAGGCTTTGTCACAACGGGTCTGATAGTCATTCTGTTTATCCCGTAATAATAAAAATGCCGCAGATGATAAAGAAACACTCTCAAATCTCCGTATTATGCCGATGAATCGAACCCGTGATTACATATGTCGGACAAGCTGACGAAAGATACATCAAAATTTGGGAGACTGTTCGCAAGCCCGACACTTAACATCCAGAACTTGCAATTCTATGCCACGACTTCGCCAGCTGACGTCAAGGAAGAAGACGTCAGCTGAACATAATTCACATGACGAAAAATTGCGCACTGCATGGACTTGTCACCGTGCATGCGTAGCAAGTCGTACTGCTCCGCCTCCTTGATTGTCGCTCTTCCCCGACATTTGGTCATACTGGCCAACGAATCTTTAGCTTGGATCTTATGAAGCTCCTGATCATGCACAATCTCAAAGAAACAATCCAAGCTATTCATAAGATCCCAAGCTGGGCCAAGGACCCAGCGCTCATGGGGAGACTAAACCGCGTAGCCCTGCGTAGCTCAGTATTATTATTATTATACTGTTTTTTAATCGTGAATGAGATCGCTGGATGATCCTCTAGGGCTGTGACTTCATTTGAAAGACTACGCAATGAGCTAAACGATGACAGCCTTTTACATCTGACCAGCTTATATTAAGGTATTGCGCTTACAGACTGGAATCATTTCAAGCACAGATACAAAAGACTGTTTCATGCCGTCGAGAAAACCAATGATTAGGACGATCAGTCTGACCCTGAAGCCGCGGTTAAGTTGACGTAGCTCAAATAAGAGAGACTGGTATTTGAGCCGTTTCTCTTTTTCGATCACAGATATATTGCTCAATCAAGGAGATGACTTTGTCTTCAAAGTCGAAGAGGACATATTATCAGAGGATAATATCAAACGTGATATTATGAGGTCTTTCCCAATCCTGTCTTCACAGATTAATAATATAGCTGATCGGTAGATGTTCAGCATGCTATAAGGCACCTTCTCATTTAACTTGTTTAGTAGCCATTCCGCCACTTCCTCAGTGGTTGGCTTGAAATAATCATAATTCGAGTCTTAGTGCAATTCTATCCACTCTTTGATAAAATAGCTCACACAAGTATCGACTTGATTCCATCAGTAATTGTATCAACTCATCTTTGTCAATACCATCCAGTTCCTCTTTGACGACTAATCCCAAGGCTCTACTCAAAGGTACCAAGCCGAAGCTCTTGATTAGCTAAAAGATATTTATCTCGACCTATGACTGTTTTTTCCAGCACGGAGAGAATCTCTGAGTTTAATACCGGGGATTTAATTTGACAATGTGGGTATTGTATGATGAGGGCTGACTTTTCCTCCTTGTGAATGCCATCTGAGAGAACCTCGTTCCAGCAAGTCGCCAATGCCGGGTGCACTTCGAATTCGTCAGCTTTTCTATTGCTCAGCATCTATTAATGAACATCTAGCTGCTGATTTTCTTTGACTTTTTCAACCACTTTTTTTGTCTCTTTTTCCTATCGAACATTGGAGTCGCCATGTTGAGACGTGTCGACTGCCTGCGCCCTCTCACCCTCTGTACCAACCAGGGACATGAGTAGATAGGCTGTGCCGGTTCTGGACAAATTGCAAGTCATTCCAGAACTGGCAGGCGTATGGGTGGTGAGTCAGACTCCCGCGAGCGTAGGTGTATGATCCACTATCAAGGTCATGATGTCCTCCATTTCCTAGAATAAGAAGAACGTGCCGAAAACACGTTCTCTTTCTCTCAAGGTCACCCTATTCCCAGAATGATTAATTCAATTGCGGGAACAATGGGAACGTGCCCAATGTTATGTTGTCAGCGGAATGTTTGGTGTTGTCAAAGCGAGCATTCCAGGAAAACTTAGTCGCAAGTATTATGACTAGTTTGAGTTCAAGGTTTCTTTTTTTTTGCGGAGTCAACAGAAATATTGTTCTAGGAAAATCTGCATAGTATTGTCCTGCTCTCTTATATGAATGAGACAGGCCCGTAATTTCCATCAGTCTTAAAAAAAGTTTCTGAGTGCTAAAAGATCGTTTTTGAGTAAAATCTGTTTATGAAAATGGATTCATCACCTTATTTGAAACTAATCGAAACCATGAAACAAGCTTATAAACTGTGTAAAAAACAACCGTCGGAAGACCAAGTCAAATGGTTGAAAATTGGTGGAAACTGGTTGAGGAGATTGAATAAAAGCGTGAGAGTTAAGTCGAAGTATTCTATGGCTCATAGATTGAGAATGCAAACAACGATAGCGCGTTTACATTCTCTGATTAAAAAGTTCAAATGCAGGCAAAAGAACGGTGGTACAATTAATTCTCCCAAACAGCGGAACGTAGGAAGTCATAGGGTGGATTGGCAAAATCTATTGTCAGCATATGAAGGTAGAATCAGAACTGGAGTGGTCATTAACCTCATACATACAGATTTAAAATCCTTCCTCAACGATGCGAAATTTCTAATTTGTACTCGTATAAAGAATGCGTAACTGAAAGAGGGGAATTTAAAAGTTAATTTTATCTTAACTTGCGAGTATGAGAATTGGAAGCATGAGCAAACACTTCCTGAAACTAAATATTTCAACACTCAAAATACTACCATTCCACCATCTCATGATATTAAAGAATGGTTCGAAGGGGATATTATTAACAAATTATTAACCAAAGTTGAGCAGTTCCAGGAACGCGATTCAGGATGGACAATGATTGAGATAATTAACCTTACACTCAACATTAATAGATATGAACCGTTGCGGGGAGGTTTGTCTACTTATATTGATCTCCCACCGAAAATACAAAAGAGAAAGGCTGTAGTCAGTATAAAAAATTCCGATGAATTTTGCTTTTTATGGTGTGTAACAGCAACGCTCTATCCTACTGACTATCATAGAGATCTGATTAGTTCGTATCCTCACTTCAGTACGGTTTTGAAGTATGATGGTATTGAATTCCCTATGAGTCTCAAGCATATATCCAAATTCGAGTAAATGAATAATCTTTCCATCAATGTTTATGGATTAGATCAGAAAGAATACATAGTTCCAGTTCATTTGAGTAAACTGAAATCTAATAAAGCTACGATTCACCTTCTCATG